GGCACCTGCCTGGCAATGCCAGCCTTTCCAATGAGCCAACCCTGCAGCCAGCTCAGGGTTTTTTGCTGCAGAACATCTGTGTGGTCTTCTCTGTTTTTAAGCCTCTCTTTTGCCCCAAGCCCCTCGTTGTTCCCAACTTCATTGGCTCTGCAGAACCTGTCTCTGAGTTGCTTTTTCAGTTCACAATTTCAATAAAAATAAAATCAAAATCTATGCTGGGTGTGGTGATCCATGCCTGTAATTCCAGCTCTCTGGAGCTGAGGCAGGAGGATTGTGAATTTGAGACCAGTTATAGTGTGACCCTGTCTCAGTCCTCTCCCCCACCCCCTAAAAAAATCATAAGTCTAAATCAACCAGTGGTTTGTTTGTACATTTTAAATGAAAACCTCAAGGGCTGGGGGTAGAACTCAGTGGTACGGTGCTTGCTTAGCATCTGTGAGGACCTGGGTTCCATCCCAGGACCACAAAACAAAACAAAATGAAACAAAACCAAAACCCAAAACCAAAACAAACAAAAAAGTACTCTGTAACAGTGATCTGTTATTCCCACAGACAACATTCTCTTAAATATTACAAATAGTTACAATTCAACACCCGAACTTACTATTTCTTAACACAAATGTATGTAACTCTATATATCGATTCCCTTACAAATGGGGGTCCACGAGGGCAATGATGTTGGGGGTTACCATTCCAAGCCATTTGGGGTTTTTTGGGGGCAGTATTCGTGTTTGCACTTGCTAGGACTTTGCACTTGCTAGGCAGGTGCTCTCACTCCTGCAGCCCTTTTTGCTCTGGTTATTTTGGAGATAGAGTCTGGATTTTTGTGCAGGTCAGCCAGGACCATCACTCTATGCTAAGCTTCCCTCTGTTGCTGGGATGACAGACATGTGGCACGAAGCCCAGCTTTTTTCTATTGAGGTGGAGTTTTGCAAACTGTTTTGCCTGGGCTGGCCTGGAACTGTGATCCTCCTGATCTCAGCCTCCTGCATAACTTGTGACAACAGGCATGCACCACCACGCCCAGCCATTGGTGGAGATGGGGTCTCATGAACTATTTGCCTGGGCTGGCTCTCAAACTGAGATCTTCCTGATCTCTGCCTCTCAAATAGCTAGGATTACAGGTGTGAGCCACTGGTGCCCGGCCCCAAGCCATTTTTAAGATTCTTTGGTGCCCACAGAAACTTCAGAATTGGACATAGGTTTTGCCTAAGAGCTTGATGGAACATGAGTCCTGATTGTAGTCATTTAAACAGGATTTCTCATACCTACAAAGGGGGTGGTCACAAAGCCTGTGACCCCTGGGTCCAAACTGTGAATTCATTCCTGATTTCTGAAGGCTAGGGGACCACCTCCCCTCCGCACCCCCATCACTCTCTTGCCTGACTTCTTTTTCTCAGACTATTTGTCACCAGCTGGAAGTCTATCACACAGGCAAATAAAAGCACAAGACACCCAGTCATGCTTGAATTGCAGATAAACAACTAATTTTCCCAGGCCCCAAATATTGTATGGGACATGAAAAGATTATTCATTGTTTATCTAAAGTTCACGTTTCACTGAGTACCCGTGGCTTGTCTGGTGACTTTACTTATCCGTGTCAATGACCGCCTGCCTGCCCTGCATCCTCCCTCGCCCACTGTCCTGTAAGCCCGCGGGGGCTCAGTCTGTCTCTGACTTGTTCACGGTTATAATCTCCCTGTTGTTGGGGTTCAAAGCATGCTACCTCAAAATACTGACTACCTTAAAACGAAGAGATGTGAGTGACAGCAGAAGGACTCTCCTGCTGTCCCCTAAAGTGTGTCATGACTCTCACGGGAGGGGTGCCCCCACACCCTATCCTTAGCTCTGAAGATAGGACAGGAAAGGACACTCAGCAAACAGGCCTCGCTAATTGTCCCCAGCTCACTCCCTCAGCACCTGCTCTTTTGTCTGATCACTTCCCAGTGACTTTCCACACCATCAAACCTGGCGGCATGAAAATGGTCTTTCCCTTCCAAAGGCTCCATGTCCTGCAAGACTTTGTGAAACACATTTGCACGCTTTCCCTCTTCTAGCACAGAGGCCCTGGTTGAGATCCTAAAAGGGTAAAAGGAAAGTTTTTTCCTTGTCGGCAGAGTTACAGATGAGACAGCTGAGGTTCGGAGAGGGGAGGTACCCTGCCCAAGGACGCACAGCCAGCAAGCAGCAGTGCTGGAATTCTGACCCAGATTCACCTGGCTCTTCTGTTACACTTTCAGCCTTGATTCTGGGCTTTGGTGTGGACCAAACTAGCCTATGTGAGGTGTTTGTTTAGCACAGCACCAGGAAAACAGTGGGTGCTCAATAAGTGCATAGTTCTTTCCTTCCTTCCTTTTTTTTTTTTTTGGCTTTCTTTCAAAGTTAAGATCTTAACCCCTCAAGCCTAGATGTTTGAACCCCCAGTCCTGCCCCTGCCCTTCCCTCTCGGTCCCTCCAATGCTGGGAGAAATCACAGCTGATCTCATGCCATACTTGACCCTCATCTTTCTGTCCTCATCTAAGAGGTTCCTGGCAGAAACAACCTATCCTCTTTCCTGGAGTCTGGGGTCCTCCGATGGGCAGCCCCTTCCTCCTGCATGCCTCTTCCTGGGCTTGCGTTCAGCCCCTCCTTGCACTGGTTCTGCCTTTGAGCACGAGCTGCAGTGCTGAGGAGCTGGAGTTGCCCCTGAGGGCTTTAGCTCATGTTGACGGAGCCCTCTTCCAAGCCAGGCTCTGAGCCAAACGTGCTCCATGTTACCTCACTTCACTCCACCGCAGCCCTTCCAGGGGCATTTTTATTCCATTCACTTGGCAGATTGAGGCTCTGTGATGTGAAGTGGTTTTGTCACCAAAATTAGCAAGGTGGGGGTGGTGGTGGGGGAGTGGGGAAATGCTCAAGAGACCCCATCTCAATGAGCGTGGTGGTGCTCACTGTCATCCCTGCAATTGCAGGAAGCATAAAAAACTCCAATCATGGGCCATGCCAGCCTGGGCAGAAAGCCCAGAATAACCAAAATGACCAGAGCAAAGTGGTTTGGAGGTGTGGCTCAAGAATGCGCTGATTCTCTAGCAAGTGTGATCTCCTGAGTTCACACTCCAGTACTGTCAAAAAAACTCACCTTAGGATGAGTGCTCCCTTTGTTCTGGGCACATGGGGCAGTCAGTTATTCACTGTTGACATTATCAATTGCACCCAGAGATATCAAGGCTGCGAGTGTACTAAATTCTGGTCATTGTGACATAGATGTCCTTTTCCTTGCACGTCCCTTTAAACAAAGGGTGGGTTTTATCAGATGCTCATTTTAAGCCAGGTGTCCTTCCTTAAGACATTTTGTTTTTCTTCTTTGCAAACACTTCTGTGATCAAAGTAGTCTTTTCATCAGTATCTCCACCCCCTACTCACAGAGTAAATGTCTTTCTTTAAGTTTTCTTGCTCTGTTCTCAGAGCATGTGGGCAAGGGCAGAGGGAGACACCTGCATTTTGTTTCCAGCTATGTGTTGAGGCTCAGTGAGGAAGTGTGAAGCCTAAAGCGAAGAAAGCAGTGCCCGTACCTTTCAGTGTGTCAGTGAGTACTCACCGATGCAAAGCCTATCTCTGAATTTCTGGCTCCTGCTTCTCGTGCCTCATTGTCCGTGATCCATCTTGCCTCCGTCTGTAGGCGTGAGGTGGACTTGTGTGTAGAAGGGCTGTGACCACTGCTGAGGGGAATGAAGGGGTGCATCCCAGTGGAGGTGGCATTAGGGAGACCTTTGACAAGTGACTAGTGTGCCAGCAAGAGAAGGAGGGAGAGGAGGAGAGAAAGGAGAACCAGCCGGGTAGAGGAGACCTTGTGAGCAAGTCTTGATGAATGGAGAGTGAGAAGGGAGGCAGGGCCAGGTGCAGGTACCTCAGCACCAGCTGGGGCTGGAGGACAAGGCCTCAAGAGCCAGAAAGCTTGTGTGTGGGCCCCTGTGGGGGTTGGGAAGGGCTTCTTGCCCCAGGTAAGAAGTGTATCCCTGACCACTCAAAGGTCCCTTCTATCCAGTGCCCTGGCACAATCCATTATGATAAGAACCTGAGACTCAGTACCCAGCAAACAATCCCACCATTTTAACATTTCAGTGATATTAGTTATTTTGGGGGCAGTACTGGGGTTTGAACTCAGGGTCTTGTGTTTGCTAGGCAAGCCACTTGAGCCACTCTACCAGTCCTATGGCTTTTATTTTTAACAGTTTAGCATCCTAAGATCCCCTTATTATAACATTAGAAGAGTCTAAGTTCCTGTATTTCTTTTATGAAAACCTATTTCTCCTGAAAACCTTCGTAGAGTTTAAAACCTCGTAATCCTATAATTTGAAGATTCTATGATTAATCTCAGGAAGGTGGCGAGTATGTGGGTGGGGAAGGCGGGGCCAGGTCTCAATGCATATGCGTGAGCCCTCCCCACCCCCACCCGTGTCAACTTTCCAAGGGCTGGGTACAGAAGAGACATCAGGAAATGGTTAGGGAGTGACTGGTTGTTTGGACAAGAAAGGTCAGGACTGGCTTAGAGCTGGGTGGGGGCCACGGTGCTCTGGGCCAGTGCAGGGCTCGAGTTGGCAAAATAAGGGGAAATGGTCAAGTGGGCCTGAGGGAAACCCACAGGCAGGTGCAGGTGAAGGTCGAGTCTTTCAGTTTGCATTGGAGTTGGGGAGCTAGGTGGGACTTGGAAGGCTGCCCCATGGCAGTGATAAATGAGGTACCCAGCATAGTTACTTACATTCATGGAGGTAGCAGGAGGCTGGGGAGAAGGGGGAGGGGGTTTCTTGGAGAGTGGGTTCAGATTTTCAGTTCTGCAAGATTAAAAGAGGTCTAAGGATGGGTGGTGGTGCTAGTTGAAAACCACATGAATGCACCTTATAACAAACACTGAACTGTACTCATAAAAATAGGGCAATTTTTAGTTATATGAATTTTCCTACAATTTAAAAAGTTATAACATTCATTGTTCTTGTCTTGTCATGATAGGTACGCACTGGAAAAAAAACTAAACACGGCCCTCACAGGGACGGGCACACTGTCCACTTGTAGCTGCGCCCTATGGCTTGTAGTGTGCTGAGCAACCGTGAGTCAAAGAAATGACTGCTGTGACCACTGTGAGTCCAGTTGATACTACTGAGCTGGGCCATTGTAGTGAGAAAGAGGCTGTGCCAAATGTAACCAATGGGAGTGGGAGATGTCAAGGAACCTCCAAGGGGACAAAGGACAGATACTCTCGGGCCTTGACTCATAACCTGCTGCCGACTGGAAGTCCAGGTGGACCACAGGACCGGGTGCACCATAATGACCCTGGTGGCACCATCCTGTCTTCAAAGACAAACTGATCTTTGTCTTACACAAGGAAGGAACATCTTGAAAAATCCACACACGACCAGTGGAAAAGTACCAGATCCTAACTCAACCCAGTACCCCATAGAAGCTTGCGCCTTCCTTGTTCAGGGGCAGCCAGGCTTCTCTCCCAATCAGTGCCCTCCTCCTCCTCCTGTAGGTGAAGGCCCTGTTAAAGCTTCCCGGTTGTTTCCTTTCTACCATCTCTGTCAGAAGTTCCTGTCTCTGGTATCATGTGGCTATGTCTCAATAAAACTTTATTTGCGGACACTGAAACTGAGCTTCCTTTAACTCTCATGGGTCACTGAGAAGTATTTTTTTGCTTTCTCCTCCAGTCACTCATAAACATCTAAACCATCGCAAGTTCATGAGTGGTGGCTTGCCAACCCCTATCCTTTCTCCATCGTTGACTAATGGACTTCTTGGAGAACTGGCTATTTGGCTATCTGACTTTGGCCCGTTTGCTCTGTGTAAGTTGTTCTGCTCCTCTGGGGGGTGGGGAGGGTGGCGAGGGGCAGGGGGCGGTGGGGGGAGATTCCAGCTACCTGGGAAGCCACTATGCCTTGACATTTCTCTCAGTGTGACAACTCTCAGCCAGGTAAGCAACCTGAGTGAGGAACTTAGCGGACCAGAGGCAGGATAGGGATTGTGGCTACTCTTCTTGGAGCTGTCCCTCTGCCAGCTCTATTGGATCATTGGGGCGGAATCTCCCCTGCCAAAGGTGCCCTCCACTAGGACTGTAACGTTGGGGTCTTAGCTCCAGGCCCAACTGCACCAGCTGCAAACTGAAGTCAAAGGAGACGAGCACAGGGTGGTCCTGTGCTTATCGTTCAAGCTGATGACTTCTCATGTGGCACTCAGGCCTGAGGATATAATGGCAGCAGAGCAAGTGGGAGGCCCTGGGTTTGATTCCTAGCAACACACACACACACACACACACACACACTCTCACACACACACACACACACACAGAACTCAGAGGCCTGCAGGTGTCAGGTGGGTATGAATGTGGGTAACAATGGGACACACTGGAAGGTGCTAGAGGAGACATTCCTAATAAACCCTCCCTATGTCCCTATAGACCATAAGCCATCCTGTATCTGAGAAAAGGGTCTCACTCTGCTGCTGTTTGGTGAAGCCAATAACTCAAGAGACAGAGCAACAGAAGAAGAGAGAATTTTACTCAGTGGCCAAAGAGTGTGTGTGTGTGTGTGTGTGTGTGTGGGTTCTGCTTGCAAATCAGCTTCTCTACTCCAGGGAGGTGAGGGGTTACAGATATAGGGTAGGAATAATATATATATATATATATATATATATAGAGAGAGAGAGAGAGAGAGAGAGAGAGAGAGAGAGAGAGAGAGAGAGAGATTGAGAGAGAGAGAGAGAGGCAGGCTAACGGGAGGAGTAGTCATGTCTCTTCTGGGAATAGGCAGAGATCTTCCTGGAACTCAGGTGCCACTCTTCTTGCTCCTTTTGTGATGACTCATTTCCAGTCGTGGCTGTTGGTAGGCATCTTTAGTCTTGAAGGGGGAAGACAGACTAGGCAAGTCTAGGTCAAGTGAATCCTATATTATAGCTCTGGATAAAACATTTTTGGTTGACCACCCTGTCCACGTGCAGAGCTGAGCAGACTCTGACCCAAAAGGAGATGCCACAATGTGAAGACAGATGTCGACCACCTTCCTCCTGGTCCACTCACTCATGGGGCGTCTGCAGCCCAAGTGAAGAGTCAATGTTTTCAGCAAAAGCTTTCAGGTCCCTGAAAAGTAATGCAGGCAACTGTTATCATAACCACACTGCAGAGGTGTTGTCTACAGCAAAGCTAGTGGGAGATAGACCATGTGTTTCCCAGCCCAGTGACCTCCAAAATTAGTGATTTTTACATCAAACAGGAGCAAGTGAATCGAGAAGGTTGATTAAGCTTCCCTTCGTAACAATACCATCTTCCAAACTATGACACATTTCCCAACTTTCCAACTTTTGTCACATACAAGTTACCTGAATATTCTTTTGTTTTTATGTTATCTTACTTTTTAGATTTGGGTCAAGAAGGAAAGTTTAGGTCACTGCCATAAATGGAAAACCACCATCACTCACCCTAACTAGATTTCTAGTAAAGTACACAGAGGGAAAGTAAGACGTTTTCAATTAAAATCATTAGGCTGGCAGAGGTTCTGAGAGTATGAGGTCAGATCTTTCTTCATGAGAGAAGGAAAATGGGAAGTGTTAAAGAGAAGACTAGAACCAAGCCCAGCCTTCCTCCTTGAGGGAGGCATAGGAGGGAGACAGGACTGAAAGAGGAATAGCTTGATCCACAGGAACCAGTGCTATTTAATGCTAGCTTCCCATCACCACCCATAAGCCTCTGGGCACCACTAGTACCCCACAACTGGAGCAATGCAGTAAGACATTGGCCTGCCTTCAGTTCGTCACTTACCTGTGGGTTACATTACTCTGAAGGTATTCTCAGAGCCAGATGCTCAATAGTAAATGATTTTCTTGGCTCCTTCCCCAGGATCACTGGTTGCATGGATGGCAGAGGACGGTTGGATCCTAGGAGAAGCACTGTAGGTGGGAATCCTGGGTAGCAAAGTCTGGGGACAGGGCCAGGAAGGAAGGGGAATCCTGAGTTCAGAGCGTCTTCTGCTTTTACAGCAAGGCTGCTCTTTGTCCTGGGGGTAGACATGGCTACTCCTCAGGGTTGCTTGCTGCAAACACACTTGGAGGAAAGGCCTGGTGAAGAGGGGTTGGGACTCTGCAGCATTAGTGTAACCACAGGGGACTACCTTGCCCTCAGGGTGGTCTCCACTTCTTCTTCTCCCCATCCATTTGGGGACACACCTACTATGTGCTTGAGTGCTGTGCTGCCATCGTGGGGTCCTGCTGGGAGTTCATCCCACCTGCAAGTCAATATGCTGCTCTGTTCACTGCGTGGCACGCATAGAACACACACTACAGCACGAAGCTTTTGCAAAAAGAAAAAGGCTTTATTGCATAGTCAACTGGCCAGGAGGCAGGAGCTAGGAGAAAAAGGAGTTCAAATCTGCCTCTGCAGGGGTTGTTAGTGTGGGGGTGCTACAGAAGGAGGGGAGCTGCTGTAGGATGGAAGACTAGAAGGGGGCCTCAGGGTTCTTTTGTGCATGTGGCTATCGTGCGTCCTCACAGGTCACGATTTCTTTTCAGGTGCATTAATGTTCCGCACAGCTGGGATTTTGAGCTGTTGCCAGTTGGTGGAATCTCAGTAAAATCTGTGGATTAGATGAAACTACCATGTTAATTTCCTGTGCTGCGGTGTAGAATTCCACTCAGTTTAGGAAATGCAAACTCAAGGATTTATGGTAAGGGAGGTCATGACTACAACTCACTAGCAAGTGGTTTGAGTATATATAAAATATATGGAATTTAGAATATGAGTAACAAAACATACGTAGAGAGAGACAGGAAGGTAAGAAAAGGGAGAGCTGGAGGAGATGGGGAGAGAGGGATAAAGGAGAGGGAGAAAGGGAAAGAGAGGGAAGAGAAGAGGGAGGGAAAGAGGCGTGAGGAAGAAAGCTAATGGAGCAAGATGTTAGCATCTGGGGGATCCAGTGATGTGAATGAAGGGGGTCTGGAAATTCTTCGTTTTATTCTTGAAGTTTTTCGGTATATGTGAATTTATGTTAGTAACAAATCTTTTCCTTGCAGTGGGTGCTGGGATGGAACCCTGAGCCTTGTGTATGTGAGGCAAACACTCTGCCACTGAGTCCCTCTCCTCCACCCTCCATTCTACCTGTTGACTGACGTTGAGAAACTGCCCTCCAAAAAGGCCTAGGCCACTTGCCCTTCTCAAGGTTGGAGTGGGGGAGGGGATTAGCTTGCTGTGATCTCTGTCTACACCAATGCCAAGCAGTGTACTCTTTGCCATTGTGATAGATGATATACAGATCTGTTACCGGCCTTTCTTTTATTGCAATGGGGTGGAGCACATCTTACTATGCATGCTACCACCTGTACTTCTTCTTTTGTGTAGGTGGGAACTGAAGGGAGCCAGGGTCAATTGCTGACACTTTCTGCACTGAGAAGCTGAAGGAAGGAAGTGAGGCGCTGGGGTGCCATGCAAGCCAGGCAGACAGTGCTTCCAGGAGGAGGCAGAGCTGACTGCTAGAGCTGCCACGAGGGCCAATGAGGACAGAGAAGTGACCATGGGGTCGGGTGGCTCTGAAGTCACACCCTTAGTGGGTGTTGGGATGGGAGCCTAGTGGGCAGAGGGGATGATGGTGGAGGAAAATTCCCTTAAGAAGGCGGGGTCAGAACAGAATACCAAGAGCCTAACCCTAGTGACCTGGGCAAAGCATGCCAGCCTTGGAACATAAACAGTGAGAACCCATTAATGGCCACACAGAGCTGACCAATGCTGTGTGCAGCATTGAAGGAGGGACCAACTCCCCTCCTTGGAATGCCAAGGAACTTGGACTCCAGGTCCTTGCCCCGACTTAGCCACTGGCAGGAATGGGTGACTTTTCAGCATATCTCTTCCTGACCTGAGTCACTTGCAAATTGGGGATAATGACATTTGTTTTTGGCTCCTCGGCCTAGGGTGTTTTAAGGTTTTCAGGTGGTGGGTTTGGGGTTGGAGCAATAGGTATACAAATACTAAGTTCCCTCTCTGTACCAGGACATGAAGACCCTAATGGAATCACAGAGTTCCTTCAGAAAGTTTACAGTGCAGAGAGGCAAGTACACAGTCACTATTGTGACCACGAAATGGTGAGAGTATGCACAGAGCACAGGTGTTGTACAGAAGCAGGTGACAATGGAAGGCAAAGACTTGTCAGAGGAGATGGCATTTGGATAGGGTTTAGAGGAATGAGTAGGAGTTCATCAGGCAGATTGCGGGGAGGGCGGTGACAGCAGAGAGAACTGCAAATGCCAAGGGAAACTATTCTTGCCTGGCTGACTCCAACACTTCCATTACGTCTTTCTTTCCCAACTTTGGTCTCAGCCAGTGAAGTCTTGGTGAGAGCTGGTCGATGTGTGATGGCAGAAGTGCTGGCCTCCTTGTGGAGGGTGGGAAACAGCCAGTTAAAAGGCACTGCCTGTGGGGACAGGTCTTTGGGGGGCTTGGTATGTTTTCCTCTGGTGCACCACAGGGAAAAGTCAGCAGGAGGCTCTGCTGTAGGCTTTCTGGCCAGCAGCCTTAGCTACCACAGCAGTAGAGAAATGACAGGCCAGGGACACTGGGGGAATTGGAGTTTACTAGGCTGGATGGCAATGTAGACGGAGCCTGAGCTAAGGAGGACAGAGCGTTTCATCTTCCCTGGCACCTCTGTCCTTGGTGGTTGGAGGCTACTGGGAGCTATGTATTTGAAGCTGAGATGTGTTTCAGGAGGAAAGTGGGCTGTGATGGATTAGCAATGTCTGCTGTGAGTGATGGAAGGGAGAGAAGGGATCTGCATGCTGTCTCTGCCATTTCTGACTTAGTCAAGGGTTCTCAGCCTACAGATGGGGAGCCTGAGGGACAAATGAAGTGTCACATTCCTCATTCTATCTGCACAGTACGGTCTGTGGAACTCAATTGCATAAGACTAATTTTCAAGCCTCCAAATGTCAGTTTGGGGTTTTCTCTATTAAAACTGAACAAGGGGCGGTCTGGTGCATGAACTCTTGCAGGTTTCCTGGAGATTTTCTGCAAAGCAACAGTCCCCAGAGGAGGCTGTGGGGTCAGGGTGACAGCTTTGGCATGACCTGGGACTAGAGGTCGAGGACAGGATGAAGCATCAAAAGGATCAACTCAAAAATGTTAACAGTATCAGCAGAGCTCTCCACAGACATTTAGCTCAATTTAGCTGGAACAAAGCACAGACCTGGGTTCAAATTTTGACACCACCATTTTCCAACTGCAGGACCTTAGCCAAGTGAAGGAGCTCCTTAGATTCCATTCCGCTTCCCCATTATAAAAAAAGATGATGTAATCTCATCCATTTCATTTACATATTAAATGAAATATGTAAGCAAATTGCCAGCTCAGTGCTTGACATGGAAAACTGTGGAGTTTTCATTTCTCTAAAAATAAAAAAGGGGGGAGGGGTGGGCAAGGGACTGCAGTGGATCACATCTGTAATTCCACCTACTCCAGTGGTGCAGGTTGGGAGGATCGCGGTTTGAGACCAACTGGAGCAACAATGCAAGACCCTATCAGAAAAATAACTAAAACAAAAAAAAAAAAAAAAAAAAGGGGGGGGGCTGTGATTCAAGTTGTAGAGCGTCTGCCTAGCAAGGTGAGGTTCTGAGTTCAAATCTAAGTACCACCCAAAACAAAACCAAACTCTACCCTCACTTCTTAAGCCTTCAGGCCACAGGCTGGGCAAAACTGTCCTTATCTGGGAAGGGCGTTGACAGCAGGTCGGTTTTCCAGGCTTCTGCAAGTAGGTCCATCTCTGCCGGCCCTGGGCAAATTCCTTCCTGTTGGGCCTCAGTTTCCCCGTCTGTGTCACGCGAATGGTGCCCAGGACCAGAAGAACCCCGGGGCCCTCCCGCTTTGGCTGGGGTGGGGGTGGGGGTGTGGCAGGACTGGAGGCTACGGACGAGGAGGAGGTGGGGTTGGGGTACGAAGGGGTGGGCCGCGGGGCGTGATCGGGACAAGCGAGGCGCACCTGGCCGGGCGGTGACCTGAGACGCCCTGCTCCATCCGGGAAGAACCAGCAGTGAAGGTTCAGTCCGCATTAGCCAGGATTAGAGCGGGTGGCGGGCGCCGCGGTGACTCAGGCGCGCTTTTGCATCCGGGTCTCCGCCCCGGGCGCCAGAACACCCGAAGGCTCCGCCAATCACAGGCCGGCTCCCAGCCGTGCCCGGGAGCGGAAGAAACGTTGGACGTCATTGGCTGGAGGCGCCGCACAAGCCCGGGGCGGGGGGGGGTCCCCTCTTCCAGACACCTGCGGGTGGACGGCGGGGTGCAGTCTTAATCCTCGCGGAAACCTGCGCTTCCCAAAGCGAGCTTCTCGTCGGTGGGGCCAGGCATCCTTCAGGTGGCGTGTCAGTCCTGCGCAGAGGTGCAGAGGGCTCTGGGTCCAAACCCTACCTGTGTCACTTGCCTGCTCTATAACTGCTGCACATGAAGCTCTCCAAGCTCCCAGTTTCATTATAGGAGCGAGGCAAAACTTATCATTAAGAATAACAGTGCGGTGCTCACGCCTGTAGTCCTAGCTACTCCAGGGGTGGAGATCGGGAGGATTGAGGTTAGAGACCCACCTAGGCAAAAAGCAAGACCCTGTCCCCCAAATAACTAAAGCAAAAGGACTAGGGGCGCAGCTCAAGTGGTAGAGCGCCTGCCTAGCAAGTGTGAGGCCCTGAATTCAAACCCCAGTACCGCCAAAAAGCTACAACAAAAAACCCCAAAAGAATAATAATGAAGAGCCCTTATTAAGTGACAATTAATGTAGCTCTTGGGAACTACCATCAAGTGTGGTCCTCCCCCAACAGCCCCATACCCCACAGAGCTGGCTGGAAATGCAGCATGGGAGCCTCAGACCTGCAGAGCAGGACTGCACCTTAAGATCCGCAGGGAATCGGCCGCACCTCCCAGGCTGCCCAGCGCGTGTGTGGGCGGTGGAATCCCAGGAATGCCTTCCCTCTCCACGTGCCAGCTGCCAACATTGGGCAGGTTACTCTGGGGACACGCTTTCCTCCTCTGTGAAATGATAATAATATACTTTAGAGAGCTATCAGGAGAAAGTAACAACTTACAAATGGAAAACTGGACGGTGCTGGGTACAGAGCAGGGACTCTATAAATTTGGCTGCCTGGCAGCTGCCTCCTCTCCTTTCTAGGCACCTCTAAGCCCTAGTGCTGCCCCTCTGGGCGGTGGCTTCCTCCTCCTTCCTCTCCTTAGCTCATTGTAGGGCCAAGCGCCTGCGCAGGGAAAGGACTTACACCTGCCTGTTCCACTGTGGCTTGCTTGGGCCTTAAGCATAGAGGAGCATTGTTAAGCATTTGTCTTGTGTTATTGGTGACCCCACACTGATGCCTTTCCTGTGTGTATGTGTGTGTGTGGGGGGGAAGGGGGTTGAGGTGGGAGGGGCTTAAAGGGAATTTAATGATAACCTTTTATTAAGTACGTACTGTGTTTCTGATTATTCATTTAGTGTTCAATAAATGCCTTTGGGAGTGAGGTAGGCTCTCATTATGTCCGTTTTCCAGATAGGAAAGATGAAGTCATTGGTCCAGGTTCTCTCAGCTGGTATGTGGTCCTCCTGAGATGTGGCAGTTTGACATTGTCTCTTCTTTATTAGATCCCTGGGGACAAAGTGGGAAAGGGAGTCTAACTTGGATGAGGATTGAGTTGGGGGTCAGAGGG